TGTCCAGGTCCCAATTCGTCCTCTCTCCCAGAATGACGTTTTGTTTGTCGGACCGCTTTCTTATTGCAGCATGCCGAAGCTCGTCTGTAATCATGCGAGAGTGCATCGCGTTACTGTATTTCTTTTGCGCGTCGGATCTATTCTCGAAGACGCCTACGGCGAATCACATCCCCCCCTGCCTTTTGGAATCGCCCAGGTGGCCGAGCGTTGTGGCAAGAGCTCTGCCAAGCCATCGGACCATGTGTTCCCCCAGCCGTTGTGGAAACCCTTCAGGGAACACTTTGGGGAGGATGGCGGGGGCCCAAGACGGCTCTAAGATGGCCGAAGACGGCCTAAGAAGCCCCCAAGAGGTCTCCACGACTGCCCAAGAGGCCTCCAAGAGTCCAAGAGGGCCTCCAGGAAGGCCCGAAGAGGCCAACATCATTGATGCTCCTTCGGTTTTTGAAGGATTTGGGCATTTGTGTTCTTGTTCGACCTTCTGACGGCCCCAAGTCGGCCCAGGGAGGCCCCTCAGACGGGCCAGGAATGCCCCATGAATGCCAAAGAAGCCCCCGAGAAGCCCCAAAAGGTCCCCAAGAGGCCAAAGAAGGCCCCCAAGAGGCCTCCAAGAGGCTCCCAGGCAGCTCCCAGGAGGCCCCAAGAGTGCCCCCAGAGGCTCCCAAGATGCCCCCTCATCCTCATCGCTCTCCCCCGGGATTTCCACGGAGGCCCAGAGCAGATTTGCCAAGGGTGTCCCTGGCCCAGGGTGCCCCCAGAATTTGCACCTGGCCCAGAAGCCCAAAGGGCCACAGAGCAGAACAGAACAGAAGTGCCACACGCCGGAGCGCGTGGGCAGGCGCCAGCGCACGCCGAGTGTCGCTTTGCGGGACCAGCGGCCTACCAACAATCACTCTTGAGGTGAGTATGCCTACTGCGCAGAAGGAGGAGGGGGAGGAGGAAGAGGAGGAAGAGACGATGCAACAGCTAACATGGCGCGAAAAGCTCGGGACGCCGCGGGCCGGGACCGCTTCTGGCAACACATCCGCGATTCCTGGCTCCTCTCGCAGACGCAGTCGCCAGGAGGAGGAGGAGGAGGAGGAGGAGGAGGAGGAGGAGGAGGAGGAGGAGGAAGAGGAGGAGGGAAGGAGGAGGGAAGGAGGAGGAGGGGAGGAGGAGGAGGAGGAGGAGGAGGAGGAGGAGGAAGAGGAGCTCTCGTCCAGGGCCGTTGGTTGTCCCGCGCGCTGGCTCGCCGACACAATTCGCTCTCCGGCGTGTCGGGGCGGCCTCTGGGCATGAGGCACTATAAGGCAAGGCGTCGAGAGGGTCGGCCAGGTGGGCGCGGTGACGGCTGCCACCACGCCAGGTAGCGCCCGACCGACGGGTTGGCGGACGTACGTCATGTTCTCGGGGACCCAGATGGTGCCGCCGGCGAGCCTTGATGGGGGAGGAAGAGGAGCAGGAGGGGCAGGAGGAAGGGAGGCAGGAGGAGGAGGGGCAGGAGAAGAAGGATGAGGAGAGGACGGTGGAGGAGGATGTGGAGGATGCGGAAGTGGAGAAGGAGCAGGACAAGTGTAAGCCCAAGACGCATCAACGATGTTGCAGTGAACCCTCTATCCAAGTTCCCTCTTTATATGTCCCCAGAGTGATGTGCTTTATCTGCGGTAAGTGCCCTCCCTGTTGCACGACACCCGTCTGAGAATCCTGTTTCGTGCCAAATCGCAATTCCTGGGACTTCAGCGCAATCAATTTCATAGGAATCGACGTGACCGTTGTGCCCTGACAATCCAAAACCGTTTTGAGACACCGCTCCGCGGAAGTCGACCACAAGAAGTCTTGAGCCTGTTGCGACTTCCTGTTGAGACGAATGTAGACGACGCCAAGGCGACAACCACAGATTGGAAAAGACACCGCCCTCCACCCGTGAAGGTCGCGCGTTGCTAAGGCGAGAACCACATTGTGAAAAGGAGCCGCCCTCCGTCCGTGAATCTGTGCATTTTTTCTGGCGGTTGTGCGTGGCGCTTGGGCGAGAGCCACACTTTGGAAAGGACCGCCATCTATTCGTGAAGCTCTTGCGAACTTGCAAGACGAATGAGCGCGTCGCGTAGGCGAGAGCCACAATTTAAAAGCGACCCGCCCTCCATCCGTGAAGCTCTTGCAGTTATTGTTGGAAAGAACGCGCCCTCCATCCGTGAAGCTCTTGCAAGTGTTGTTGGAATGAACCCGCTCTCTTTGCGTGAAACTGTTTCAATGTTTTTCGACGACTGTGCGCGGCGCTAAAGCGAGATCCACATTCCCCAATTAGGCTTGTCTAGGGGATCCTTACGTGGTGAAATATTGGCGGGCGGTCGGCCGGAGGTTGCGACGCACGGGGGGCCTGGCTCTACCGCAGGAGCGCTCAGAGGGCCGCGATATGGATGAGGAGGAGGTCAGCGAGGAGGGAAAAAGAGGAGGATGAGAGGGAGGACCAGTGCGAACCCAAGAGATGAACGATATTGCAATAAACCCTCCCTCCAAGTTTCCCCCTCTACAAGGATTCAGTTTCACTGAGGGAAATGCCCCGTTGGAAGACAACCGATTGAAAATCTGGACCTGTGTCAGAATCACCGTAGCTGTTGCGTCCTGGCGACCCTGTATCGCGCCAGAGCACAATTCATGGAACTCTAACACCGCGAATCAACGGACCGACTGCGCCCTCACACTCTGACGCCGTGCCAACAGAACCGTTCTGGTAAGCCAACCATGGGAACCCGTGGAACTCTTGCAAACGTTTAAGACGAATGTGCGGTTCGCTAAGGCGAGAGGCGCAATGTGAAAAGGAACACCCATCTATCGGTGGACATATTGCAAGCTTCTACGGCAAATGTGCGCGACGCTAAAAGGGAGAGCCACATTTTTGATACCAGCCGCCCTCCATCCGTGAAGCTCTTACCATGCTTGAAGACGAATGTGCGCGCTTTTGTGGCGAGAGCCATATTTGAAACCGAAGCGCCCTCCATCTGTGAAGACTTCGCAAATATTTAAGACGAGTGTGCGCTTCTTTTAACCCAGAGCCACGTTTTGGAAACGACGGGCTTTCCATCCGTGAAGTTCTTGTAATTGCTCAAAAAAGACCGTGCGCTTAGTCAAGACGAGAGCCATATTTTTCATGCGACCCGCTCTCCATACGTGAAGCTCTTTCCATTTCTCAGCTTCAGGATTATAGGTGGTTAGGAAGTCTTAGGCGAACCGCCTGGCCCGCCCTTTCGACCAGCCTCGGTGTGTGACTCGGGGAAGATGTTGATAAGGAAAAAGAGTGGAGCGGCATGAGGAGGAGGAGGAGGAGAAGGAGGAGGAGGAGGATGGGTAAGATGAGGAGAAGGCTACCCTCCCCCTCCCGTGCCTGGGCCCCCTCCTCGTCCTTCTCCTGGGCCTCCCGCTGTCATTCTCTCATCTTCCTCCCCATCCCCCGTCAGGGCGACATGATCTGGCCAGGCCCACACTGGGACCGGGAGCAGTGCCTGCACCCCCCCTTAGCGTGGCCGGGGAGGCGCGTGCATTGATCCTGGTCCAGAGTGGCCTGGTCAGAGGTGTCCCCCTCTCCTCGGGAGACTCGCCTTCTTCTTTTCTTCTTCTTCTTCTTCTTCTTCTTTTTCTTCCTCCTCCTCCTCCTCCTCCTCCCCCCCTCCTCCTCGCCCTCCTCCTCCTCCTCCTCTTCTCCTCTTCTCCTCCTCCTCCTCCTCTTCCTCCTCCTCCTCCTCCTCCTCCTCCTCCTTCCCTCCTCTTCCTCCTCCCCCTCCTCCTCTGACACGGGGGTCAACGCAAACGGCCCAGGCCTTCCAGATGGTGTCCGAGCAGATGGCGTCGGAGGATCGCGCCGCATCGCCGATGCCCCGGCGATGCGGCTCGATGGTGAGCCCACTTTTATCCACGTCGACGGCGCCGATGCGTCACCGACTGCGCTGGTGCATGGCCGATGCGTCGGCGATGCATCGGCGATCCGGCGCGACCCTCCGACCCCACCTACTCCGACCGCATCTGGGATGCCTCTAAATGGAGGTCAGTTAGAGCGGTGGATCTTGCAGGAGCCTGGAGAGCAAGGGGTGCACTGACCCAAGCTAGCGCGCAGGATCCTGAAGGATTTTGCAAGATCCTGCAATGCCCTACTGACCTGGGTTTGCATTGACCCGGTCAGTGCGTCCCCGGTCTGCTTTCCTAGGCTTCCTCGTCTTTTCTTATTCCTGCGCTGTGCTCACGGCGACGCTAAAACTTCCAAGCAGCTGCAAACCGTTCACGGGCAACTCATTGCAGGAACACCCTGCCGACGCGCCTTCTATCAGCCTTCACAGCGGATCCCTTGCTTTTGGTGTGTTTGACCCCTTCCCCCTCCTCCCCTGGGCGGGCTGCCCCAGCGCAGCGCGCACGACTCTGGCGCTCATCTCGACGGCGACGACGACGGCGGCGGCGACGACGACAACGACGACGACGTCTCGCCCCCCTCCCTTCCCCTCCTGGCCGCCCCACTACCTGCAGCCGCCCGCCTGGCAGCCACCATCGTCCGCGGCTCCTGCCGCCCCCCTTCTCCTCGCCGGACCGGCGCAGGTCGCCGAGTGGCTGCTTCGACCGGCCCTCCCAGAAGCTTGTCTTGTCGTGTTTGCAGTGGAGACCCATGCCAAGAAACGCCCTGCCTGCCTCAAGGGTACCCTGGGTTTCTTGGGTTTCGATGGTCTTGCTACGGGAAGCGTGACGCTTCCATACCAACAATCAACGGACGTCCTGGGGTCTCAGGGTTGGGATTCTTGTGGAAGGTTTCGTGCCGTCGGGCTCCTACTGTATTGTCTTGCTCATCCCTTCTCCTCCTTTGCCGCCTCTTCCGCCTTCTCCTCCTCCTCCTCCTCCTCCTCCTCCTCCTCTTCCTCGTCGTCCTCCTCTTCCTCCTCCTGGTCCAGCTCCCCTTCCTCCTCCTCCTCCTCCTCCTCCTCCTCCTCCTCCTCCTCCTCCTCCTCCTCCTCCTCCTCCTCTTCCTCTTCCAGGCGAGATTCGGGAGGGCCTCCTGCAGGGAGCACGGGCTGGTCCCGTTCGTGGCCGAGGTGATCTCCGGGTCGCCTGGCCTGGTGCAGTTTGGCCCCGCAGTGCCCCGGCCGGGGCTCGCAAACCTCACCGCGGCAGTCCTCGGGAGGGGAGAGAGCGCGGTCTCCGAGGGTCTGTTTTTCCAACTCTGGAGAGCGTTTGTTCTTCCCCCGCGATGGCTGGCGTGACTGGGGAAGGGGGGGGGGCGGCGGGGGACCGGTAACGTCACGTTTCGCGCTGGCGCCGTCTGGGAAGAGTGGCGAGGAATACCCCAATGCACTGCAGAAGTCAGCACGGATCATGATGTTACCTGAGGGGGGAGGGGGGGGGCTAGGACTGGTAGCGGCCGCTTTCGCCAAACACACAGAAACGCTCTCCTGGTGTTCTGCACCGATTTCTCGAACAAGGCGAGGCATGAGCACGATTTCTCGGGCGTCCGCAAGTCTTTGCTCCTCTCACTTCGGCACGTGGGGCCCGCTCTCGGGCCCAGGGGAGCGGTCGGATGGCTCCCCCAGGGGAGCGGTCGGGATCTCTGGTGCCGCGGGTGGACAAAAAGCAGATCCGCGGATGCCTTCGATCCCCCTCCTCCTGCGGATCCAGTCGATCGTCCCTTCAGCAGTAAATCGGAGGTGGAGAGACCTCCTACCCTGACACGTCGATTAGTGAATTGGCCGTCTTCGGTTCGCGGGAGGGCGTCGCGGCCGTCATTTTTGCGGGTCCAGGTCCGTCGGTTTCGGTCCCAGGCCGTTTTCACTAAGGGGAGGTTTACTAAAGCGAGGTTTGTCCAGCGCCGAGTAAAGCCCTGATTGTTTCCCCTCGGTGGCGTGTCGTTCACGCTTTCTCTGCTGTCCCAAGTCTGCAGTGCAGTGGAAGCCCATGCCAAGAGACGGCCTGCATGCCTCCAGGGTGCCCTGGGTTTCTTGGGTTTCGGAGGCCTTGCGATGGAAAGCGTGGCGTCCCCACAGCTAGAATCAATGGACGTCCTGGGGTCTCAGGGTTGGGCTTCTTGTGGAAGGTTTCTTGTGGTCGAGCTCCTACTGTAGTTCCCAGACCAGGTCCCTCCCCTCACGTCGAGGTTCGATGCTCGGTCTTCGAGTTTTTTGTGGAGGTTTCTTTCACTCTTGGCCGGGCCTAAGGAAGGCGGCCCCTCGTGGCCATAGGGCTGGCTCCGCCTCGCAGTCCTTGCCAGAGTTCACCCCTGGAGAAATCCAGGGCTCGAGTTTTGACCCCCGAGCCCGACCACCTCGCGTCGTGAAAGACACAGCGACAGCCGATGTTTGGCAGTTTGCCGTTTCTTGGGGCCTGGACTCGGCCCCAGGGCCGCCAGAGAACGAGTCGCGATAAAGAGCCGCTCCCGGGGAGTGGGTCCAACCTCTGGGGGGTCCACGTTGTGAACAACTCTCCATGTTGGAGTTCAGGGCGTCTTTCCCGCCAAGCAGCTTCCCCTCCAGCTCAGCAGAAAGCAACCCAAACGGGTCGATGTGTTTGGTAGTTCTTTGCGTTTGTGCGGGGTCTCCAGGGGCCCCCTCGTCGCCACGGTTCGATCCGCTTCGAATTTCTGGCCGGAACGCATCCCAGGATCGCTATAGTTTTTTTTTGCGGGTGGGAGGAGGGGGTGAGGGAAAGCGGGGCACGGATCAAACCATTGGTCCATCTGCATGTCCTTTCTGGTATCGAGTCCTGCGATGCGTCATGTACGGTGCGCTCTGCGCCACATTGCGTCGGTCTCATGATGCCGCGCGTGTGTTTGAGTGTTCCCTGCGGCGCTGCCGCGTGAGAGCGCCCTCCCCTCTCCCTCCCCCTCCCGCGGCCGCCCCCTGCTGCTCCCCCTTCTGGCATGCGCAGCCTGGATTTGCTCCACGCGCGAGCGGATCGCCGCCGCCGCGTCGAGACGGGAAAAGTGAGTCTGTGTGTTTGTGTGTGTGCCCCACTTAGCTTCGACCGGAAGAGGTGCGCTCTCGACCCGCGGATCAAAAAAGTTTGTGTGTGTGCGCGTGTGGTGCACACGGTTTCTTCAGGGATCATTGCGCATGCGTCTTTTGTTCCCCCGGATGCGGCGTGTAGGAGGAGGACGAGCAGGAGGAGCGAGAGGAGGAAGGGGAGAGGCGCAGGGCGACAGGAGGAAGCGGAAGAGGAAGACACGCAGGAGGAATACACAACTAAAACGATCAATAAACAGACGCAGGGAGACTGCGGCCGCCTCCCTCAAGCGGAAGCCATCGCCCAGCTGTGAGCGAACAGATCATCTGAAAGTGTGGCCGGCCACCTGCAAAATGTTGAACAAGTCTGGTCGCCCCCCTGCTGCCCGGCCTCCGAGCTGGAGGTACAGCTGCGCCTGGACGACATGCAGTGGGTGGAGAAGAACTGGAGCCCCTTCAGGTGGGAGCCAATGGGGCGTCCCCGCGACGAGAGGCTGATGATGGTGTACAGCATCCATCCCCACAGGATCCTCGAAACAAGAGCAGCAACGTACACAGTCGTGGGTCCACGCAGATGTTCTTGAATCGGCGCTGGACCTCCTGGCGGCGCCTCTGGCGCCGCCCTTGGCGCGCTCCGCGCGCCTGGGATGGGGATCCAGCATCTGCTCTTGCAGGCGATGTATCGACCTCAATCCCCAAACTCTGCCCCAACAAGTTGGCCGCTCAGAAAAGGGGAGAGACTCGGGGATACACCCCTGGTAGCTCATTCGGACGCACGCCTGTCGGGGATAGACGCCCCCCATTCGCATATCCCCGAGTTTGGCCTCAGACTGTTCGCCCATTCGAAAAACCACAGAGTCGGGGATTTGGAGTCGCCGTACGCCCCGTTATGTTCAACGGATCCGCGCGGACCTCCGAAACTCCGTCCGTATGCTGTTGCAGTGGCCTTTTGCCAGTGCTGCCGATCCTGGGCGCTCCTGATGCTCGTGGAAATTTGGGGAGTGCGGGGATGTGTTCGGATTCCCTGGGACGCCTTGGGAATCCTTGGGAATCCTTGGGAAATCCTGCGGGAATCTTGGAGAGCCGTTGGTATCCTGGGGCATCCTGGAGGATCTCTGCGTGCATTCGGAGGATCCTGTGCGCATGCTGCCTCATGTTCTCCCGAGGATTGTCGAGGTGGACCCAGGGAGCGGCGAGACGCAGTTCTTCTGCAGCACGCCGTCCGCGCCCGTGGCGCAGCTCTTCCACAAGTACGGCTGGGACCCCAGGGGAGCACACGGAGGGGCAGGAGCTTCGGAGACAGATCGCCACGACCACAGGTCGAATCCAATCTCCCCCTCTTCGGGCACAGCGAAGAACCACAACCGAAACTGTGTGGATTGTTCGGGAGGGCCCTCTTGGGGGAGAGCCCACCGAGCTCGACATGAGCGCTTTGGTTGTGGTTGTTGTCGATTTGGCCGTCCTGGGATATCACATTGACGATAACAAGTAACACATTGGTTTCGGTGCTCCGACTCTTCTTGGCATGGGCAAGACGTGCCCCCTGGATCCCACTCGATGTCGATTCTGGCCTGCTCGATCTGGTTTGACTCCGGTAACCCGACGCTCATCTGCGGCCGGGTGCTTCATGGCGCAGCTGTGCATCCCGGCGCAGCCCGATCCGATCCGACTCCGACTCCTCTGCTGGTGCAGCCCGCTCCGACGCACCTTTCGATGCGATCCACTTTCCCGATCCGGTGACGACTGGTCCTGCCCTCGCTTCCCTCCGCGCCGGGGGTGCATCCACATCCACAGGTTCGAAGACGTTCCCCCCCTGAGGGTCTCGCGGAGCGATGGCAGTGCACACGGTAGGAGTCGTGTCGACTCGCGGCGACCCCGCCGCGGGCGTTCGAGGTTGGTCGCCGCTGGCGACCCGTAATCTCAGGCGATCGCAAACATGGATCAAGGGGGCGTGGATGAGCGACGGGCCCCGCTTCCATCGGAAATTTCGCGGAGCTCTGCCGCCGATGCATGGTGGCACCCGCCCGCCGCACTTTGGGCAGGGCACCTCCCCCGATGCATGGACCTGGCGACCGCGCGTCAAGTCCATGGATCGCGAATCCACGTCTGCGCGCCCCCGGCAGAGGAAGCTCCTCTGGAGCGCTCCCGGGAGGCTCTCTGGAGCTCTGGCGAGCTCCTGCTATGGGAGGCGCTGGGCCGCTCCTGGGAGCCTCGGGCGGGGTCGACGGTGCACGCGGAGAGTCGTGGCAAGAGTCTGGAGGAGGAGGAGGAGGAGGAGGAGGAGGAGGAGAGGGAGGAGGAGGAGGAGGAGGAGGGAGGAGAGGAGGAGGAGGAGGAGGAGGAGGAGGAGGAGGAGGAGGAGGTGCGCGCGGGGCTGACGGCCCCTGCCCCTTCAGAAAGGAGGACGGAACCCTCTGCGCCGGCACCGTCGACACTAACGGACGCCACGCGCTTTGCTGCTCCTATGGCGGCTTCATGGTTAAGAGGCACAACAACCTGCGCGACACCATCGCGCGAGCCCTACGTGAAGCCGGCATTTGCGACATCGCAGTCGAGCCATGGATTCGCCCGCCCACCGGGCCGGGCAATCCGGGTCTCCGCGCGGACCTCAGGTGCACCGACAGTGACGGCCAGTGGGCTTATCTGGACTTAACGATCGTGCATCCCGCCTCGCAGCAGAGCCTGCAGGCCGGCGGGGCCCACACCCAAGGCACCGCTGCGAGACTGGCCGAACAGGCCAAGCGCCGCAAATACAACGGAGTCGCTGGTTTCCAACCCCTCGGCTTCGAAGTGTCGGGAGCCATGGGCGAGTCCACCCGGAAATGGCTCGCGCAGCAAGTGCCTGAGGGCCCTGGGCGACTGGAGACTCTCAGCACTCTCCACCGGTCCATCGCCACCTGCGTGGTCCGGGAGGTGGCGCGCACGCTCATCAGCGCTGCCTGAGATGGTCGTCGGGCCAGCCAGCGCGCCTAACGCAGGGGTCTGGTGGCTCACACCCCTGGGCCTGGAACCGGCGGCCTCGCACGACGACGGCACCAGCGCGAGAACAGCGCTGCTACGGGAGGACGCACGAGGACAGCACTAGGACAGCACGAGGACAGCACAGGCGCGAGGACAGCACGAGGACAGCACGAGGACAGCACGAGGACAACACTAGCACGAGGAGGGGAAGGGGCGCCGAGGAGGCGCGCCGAGGAGGAGAGGCGAGGCCGAGGAGGAGGAACGCCGAGGAGGAGCGCCGAGGAGGAGCGGCGGAAGTGGAGGAGGGGGAGGCCAAAGAGGAGCGCCGAGGAGGAGCGCCAAAGAGGAACGGCGAGAGCGGGCGGCGGTGGCGGCGGCCGGAAGCGGCGGCGGGGCGGCTCCAGCGGCGGCGGCGGACGGACCGGGGGCGAAGGGAGGAGCGGCGCCCGGCCCCGCGGCGGCGGGCGCGGGCGCGGGCGCGGGCGCGGGCGCGTGCGGGCGCGCGCGGCGCGGCCCGTGGCGAGCGCGGCCCGCCCCTGGGCCCTCCTCGGACCCGAGGGCCCTGGGGCACAGGAGGAGAGGAGGAGGAGGAGGAGGAGGGAGGAGGAGGAGGAGGAGGAGGGAGGAGGAGGAGGAGGAGGAGGAGGAGGAGGAGGAGGAGGAGGAGGAGGAGGATCGTTCGACGTGGAGCCCGCCCCGCGAGGTCGGGAACCGGCGTGCCGGGGCCGGCACGCCGTGGGCCTGCCGCGTGTTGCCCGCCCTCTCGGGGGGCGGGGCGGGGCAGGCGCGCACAGCCGGCGCTCCGCGGGGTCCTCGCGGGGGCACGCTGCCCGGCCTGCGGGCCTGGAGGGATACCCCTGGCCTAGAGGTTGATCGGGGGTGGGCGGACCTCCTACCCTGACACGTCGATTCGTGAATTGTCCGTTTTCGGTTCTCGAGAGGGCGCCGCGGCCGTCATTTTCCAGGCTTGCGCCCGCCAGGTTTGGGCCCGAGGTCGTTTTCACTAAACCACGTTTTACTAAAGGGAGGTCTGTCCATCCCCGAGTTGACACCAACACCAACATCGGCGGTGTACCTCCACCGAGGGAAGAAGATCCCGATCTCGGCGATGGTGGCCATATTCTGGCTTCCAAGGTGACCGAAATATTACCGCCAACGCCGAAATCGAGGATCAGCTTCCCCCTGTGGAGGCAACCCCCTGTGCTGGTGTTGGTGCCAATTTGCAGGCCTCCAAGGATACCCCTGGCGTTCCGTCGGGCATGTCCCTCCACAGGAGGAGTGATCAAAGGTAGTCAAAAAGTGGCACGGGTTTTTTTTTTTGATCATTTTGGGCTATTCTTGAGTATGTCTGTCTATTTCTCATGCTCCTCCAAAAGTCGCCTGCAGAAGGGCATGCCCGACCTAACCCTGGCGTTCTGGCGTGGGCCCTCCTCCCTTGGCCCCCCCCCTTCAACAAGGCAGGATCCGCGACCTCTTGCGAACCCCACCCCAGCGGGACCCATCGGCGCTGAGGTGTCGGACGCCCCCCGCTGGGGTTCATTTGGCTGCAGACGTCCTTCCACTCTTAAGCCTCAGCCAGTCTTTCGGAAGTCTGGCCTGCAGGGATAATCAGAGGCCTTGCACGTGTTTGCTGGAGGGAGGTGGAGGGGTGGGCGCAGCGAGGGCGTCCCAGGAGTGGTGGCGCTGAAGGACTCCGACGGGAAGGCCTACTTCCTCTCGGTGTTCCACCACATCACCGACTGGCAAGACGGCGAGGATAGGGGCTCGGAAAGGGCGCGCAGAGCGGGCCCTACCATCGGCGCATCCCGCCCTTGGCGGAAGCCGTCGGAAGCAAAACGGCGGCGCGCCCGCTGGCGGAAGCGGCGGACGTGAAGGCGGGACGTCTTCACTTTTGGGATGCAGGTTTTCCGGGGTCGGCTATGCCTGTGCTCGTGCACCTCCCTGCTGACGCTGACGAGGATCGGCGGCTTCACCCGAAGATCGATGCCGTCGGCAGCGCCGCCAACGCCCAGTCGCCTGGGAAAGGCGCTGGTGCGCAAGAGGGGCAGCACTTCCCTTGGCATCTCGGGCGGGTGGTAATGGTGGGGTGACCTAAATGGGGGGGGGGGGGGTGAAGAAAAGGGCCCTGAAGGGGGACTTTGGGGCCCCTTTTTGGAGCCAGCAGGGGCCCAAAAGGGGCCCTAAAGTGCCCCCTTAGGGTCCTGTTCTTTACCCCCCCCTCCCCCTTAGGTCACCCCCCATTACCAACCCGCCCGATGATCCGCCGATCTCGTTTCTTCGATGCGCGGCCCCAGTGGTCCCGACCCCCTTTCCAAGGGCTGCTGTTTGTCCCGGGTCCATGCTGATGGTCCTGAGGCCTCGTACACATGGCCTTGATTAGGACGTGTGTTAACCCAATGTGTGTGTGAGTGTGTGTGTGTGTGTGTGTGTGTGTGTGTGTGTTACAGCGGGGGCCCATGCCAAGACACACCCTGCTTGCCTCCAGGGTGCCCTGGGTTTCTTGGGTTTCGATGGTTTTGCGATGGAAAGGGTGACGCTCCCACACCAAAATTCATGGACGTTCTGGGGTCTCAGGGTTGGGTTTCTTCGGAAGGTTTCTTGTGGACTGGCCTTTCCTGTAACCCGTTCAGCCCAACCGGCAGATCACCACACCGCCTGCGTCGTACCGAAGGGTCTCGGCGGACACACGCACGGTGGGGCTAGCACGCGTTCTGAAGATCCTGGCCTCGGGGTGGGGGCATCGAAGAAGGAAAACCGCCATAAACATATGCTTTTGGCGCTCCGCCCGGAATTCTTGGATCTGCGCTGAGCGCGCCAGGGGCGGCGCCGGAGGCGCCGCCGGGGGGGCCCAGTGCAGATCCAAGAAATCGGCGCGGAGCGCCAACATTTCATGTCGATGCGATGTCTCCTCCTCGAGACGAGGAGGACCAGGACGAGGAGGACGAGGACGAGGAGGACGAGGACGAGGACGAGGAGGACGAGGAGGACGAGGACGAGGAGGACGGGGACGAGACAAACATCGCTCACTGGCTGCCTCTCGGCTCGAAGCCCCGGGCGGGGCCGAGGGGGAGCGAGGGGGGGTCGATCCACGACGGCGCGGCACTCGACCTCGGCCCCTCGACCCTCGGTCCTCGGTCCTCCTCGGCCCTTCGATCCTCCTCGATCCTCGATCCTCCTCGATCCTCCTCGATCCTCCTCGATCCTCCTCGATCCTCGATCCTCGATCCTCCTCGATCCGCGATCATCCTCGATCCTCCTCGATCCTCGTCGAGCCTCGATCCTCGATCCTCCTCGGCCCTTCGACCTTCGATCCTCGATCCTCGATCCCCCACCCTCCCCTCGAGCCTCGGGCCCCCTCCCACTTCGGCCCTCGGCCCTCAGCCCTCGGCCCTCCTCCAGCCTCGACCTTCGATCCTCGGCCCTCCTCCCTCCCCTCTCGGCCCAGGCTTGAGGATTTCTCGCCGCGCACGGCGTTGTGGCGGGAGGGTGGGGGCTTCTAAGAAGACCGTGGAGCTTCTTAGCCGGCTGGGGCCTTCTTCGAAGCCCTCCTGTCTTCCAAGAAGCCTCCTTAGAAGCCCCCGGGACCTTGAAGAAGTCCCCGCTTTTTAAGAAGCCTCCTGTCTTCTTAGAAGCCCACCTCCCTCGCGCCACACTTTCCGCGCCGCTAAACAATGAGGGAGGAGAAGTCAGAACACGGGCATGCTTCCGCCCCCCCGGGAGGAGTACTTCAACTTCCCCTACAAGTTCGCGCCGGAGCCTCCGTTCCAGATCCTGGACGTTGGGCGCCCGATTGAGCTCAAGACGAAGGTCCAGGGACGCCGAGCGCTAAACAGAGCGGAACAAAAATACCTCTCCCGCTCCTCGTGCCCTTGTGAAATGTTCCCTCTGTCCTGGAGGCAACGCCCTTGACGATTCGAATCCTCCCCGCCCCTCCTACTCCCGATATGATGAATTATTCGGGGTCATTTTGCCTCTCAAGGTGAACCCCATGAACGGGGGCAAAATCCAGTTTGTCAGCTCTCTGGCGGTGTTCCAGGGGCAGCTCCACGTCGGCTACAACGCTGGTGACACCGAGTCCCGCATTCTTCAGATTCCTCTGGATAAGTTGGAGAAGACGTACTTTTCGAAGTGAATCGTTGTGGCATGCTTTGGGTGCCTCCTGAACCTGCTCCTGCTCCGTTGGGCGAGTAGAACACGTATTTTGTCAGCACCTGCTCCTGCTCCGTTGGGCGAGTTGGAGAAGACGCATTTTGTAAGGTGAAGAATCACGATCTGCCATCGTCTCCTCGTTGTCCCTGTACTTGTCACCCTGATTCTTACGCCCCACTCTGCTTCCTCGGCCTCAGCGTCCTCATGCATCTCGCATTGCTCCTCGCTGGCTCCTGCCGCCTGTTATTGTTCCTGCTCCTGCTGCAACTTCTGCTTCTGCTGCTCCACGCAGGACGGCGGCAGGGGCGACGCCGTCGGTCGGGGGAGGCCCCCCGCGGCCACGAGATGGCCCGCCAGCGCTGCCGGTGCGCACGTTGCAGTCAGACGCCAGCTCCAAGGCTGGGGTTTACCCATAGCCACCGCCTGGGGGATCGCTCTTGGGGAACCCTGGGACGGCGGTTGATATGGACATCTTCGGCCCTTCTGGGGTCCAGCTGTTGTCTTGCATTCATATACGCAGTTGTATATTACTGTATATCTGTTCATATAGACTTGGCTCATGTTTTCATTGATTCATGTTGGATCCAAGTACACCATCTGTCAAGTATGCACCGTCTGCCGATGTCCCATCACATCGTATCCCAAGGCTGTGGACATGGAGAACCCCCGCCTCGTACCATCAACACATAACGGGCATCAGCAGAGGGCGCTGCAGCACTAGTCGGCCCCACAGATCCGGCGGGATCCGCGCGACGTCAAGCGTCTCGGTGTGCAGCAGGCTTACGCGCGTTGGTCGGCATCTCAGAGTCCCTCCTGCTGCTCCTCAGCCTTGCTTCGCTTCGACGCTGCGCGAGCACATTTGCCAACGGCACATTCCGAGCCGATGCTCCTGGAGCAGCGCCGACGTCATGCCACATCGTCATGACGATATGACTGTTGCACCAGGGCAGCGCGCGCAGGTCGTCTCGCGCCAGTGTCGATCGTTGCCCGCCCCGCATGTAGTCATCACTCGACCTTGGACAGCTGTCGCGTCTGAAGAAGACGCTGCAGGTCCAGCAGGCACCCGAGCGACACGACGCACGGGGGCCGTCTGCGCCGACACTGGCGCGCGCAAGCTGCCCGCGTAGGGTCCCGCGTGGGCGCCCTCGTCTTCAGTGCGGCGTGCCGCGCCGGCGTCCCGCGTAAGCCACCGCGTCATGCCGCTGTGCCATCTCGCGTGAGACCCGTTTGGGGGTCCGTTTCGGCTCCCTCCTCCTCCTCCTCCTCCTCCTCCTCCGCCTCCTCCGCCTCCTCCGCCTCCTCCCTCTCCTCCGCCTCCTTCCTCTCCTCCTCCTCCTCCTGCTCCTCCTCCTCCTGCTCCTTCTCCTCCTCCTCCTCCTCTCCTCATCTTCCCTCTGCTCCTCCTCCTGCTCCTCCTCCGCCTCCTCCCTCTCCTCCTCCTCCTCCTCCGCCTCCTTCTCCTCCCTCCTCCTCCCTCCTCCTCCTCCTCCTCTCTCCTCTTCCCTCTCCTCCTTCTCCTCCTCCTCCTCCTCCTCCTCCTCCTCCTCCTTCTCCTCCTGCTCCTCCTTCGTCGCGCACCCGGGCCAGGACTTCGCTGGCAGGGACGCCTCGCGGCCCTCGGGGGAGCGGCGGAGACACCCCCCGTGGCCCTGGTGCCTCCGAGGAGCCAGGCGGCAGCGGCAGCGGCGCCCCCCCGCTGCGGCCTGCGGGGCCTGGCAGTGGCGAGACATGGCGCCCTCTCTGCTCATTTGTGTTAAGGCGGGCCTGTCCCATCTACAGGAGGAGTATTCCAAAGTAGTCAGAAAAACTAGTCTGGGGACGATGTGTCTACTATCTTTTGGCTATTTGGGGGCATTTTTACCTAACAGCGAAGACTGATAGGTTTCTAGTTGACTCAAAAGAGCTCACAGATCACTCCACAGGGGGGTCCGGGCAGGTGTTGGGGCGTTTCCGGGCGGCATGAGCCGGGCTCGTTTTTCACCAACAGTCACACACTTCGTGCTCTTCGCCTTCCCAGAACTCCATTCCCAGGCCACATTCTGGGGGGCCGGATGCAACAGTCACACACAAAGTGCTCTTCGACATCCCAGAACGCCATTCCCGGGCCACATTCTGGGGGGCCGGATGCAACAGTCACACACTTCGTGCTCTTCGAGTTCCCAGAACGCCATTCCCGGGCCACATTTTGGATGCCCGGAGCCAACTGTAGGCCACTTCGTGCTCTTCGATTTCCCAGAACTCCATTCCCGGGCCACATTTTGAATGCCCGGAGCCAACTGTAGGCCACTTCGTGCTCTTCGAGTTCCCAGAACTCCATTCCCGGGCCACATTTTGAATGCCCGGAGCCAACTGTAGGCCACTTCGTGCTCTTCGAGTTCCCAAAACTCCCATTCCTGGGCTACCAGGAGGAGGAGGGGAGGGGGAGGACTACCAGGAGGAGGAGGAGGAGGAGGAGGAGGAGGAGGAGGAGGAGGAGGAGGAAGAGGAGGAGGAGGACGAGGAGGAGGAGGAGGAGGAGGAGGAGGACATTGCCGGGCAACATTTTGAATAGCCAGACGCTTCATATTCCTTCCGCCACAGCTGTGTTTGGTTCAGGACTTGCTAGTGACACTGCAGTCCTCTGCATTCAATTGGCCACTACATTCATTCACTGCAGTCCACTGAGTTTTGATTGCAATGGCGTTCCCCTGGCCGTACCCCCATGTCCAACGTTCATCCGCAGCCTCTGCTCCGCGAGGCTCGTCCGAAGTGTCGCCGCCTCGCGGTGCTTCTCAGCCTGCGCCGCCTCGCGGTGCTTCTCAGCCTGCGGAGGAAGGTGGACAGACGCCTGGTTCTGGCGCTGTGCAGCCTGCGTCTTTCACGGTCGCCTCGTTCAATTTCGGGTTCGAGCAGGGCATGATGACTGGTAAGCAGGCGGCCACTCACTGCGCTAACTTCGGAAGGTTGTGCGCCAAGATAGTGGAGACCGCTGATGCTGATATGGTCTGTGGCTGCGAGGTCGGTGCGTTCCGTGAAGGCTTTCGCCGAGCAGGGATCAACGTGACAGACATCCTCAGTAAGCCTTTCGGTGATGGCATTCGCTTCTTGGAGGTCGACAACTACTTGACTCTCTGGGGGTTCCGCGGTGCTTCTCAGCCTGCGGAACTGACTCTGTGCGAAGACAGCAAAGTTTACAGGCCTCCTAGCGGCCGAGATATTGATGCTGTTATTTCACATTTTGAGGTGAACAAACCAGGCCATGACAAGTTCCACGTGGTGATCGCCAACATGCACATCGTGTGCGGCAAGAAACCGCCGAGCATCCAGACTCGAAAGCGGACAGTTCGCCATCTCCGCTTGCACCTGGACGGCCTGGCCAAGATTCTTGAGAATCTAAACGAGGCAGTCGTTGTGCTTGTAGTCGGCGACGACAACCTCACTTTCCAGGAGGCGCGGGAGGCTTACCAGCGCGAGCAGAACGACGAGAAGGTATGGGAGGTCCATGCCACTCCGGCCGACCTCAAAGGCGACCACGTCGCGGTCTGCGGAGCAGTCGCCCGTTTCTGCTCCATTGCCGTTGGCGCGTCTTTTACGGATCGTGGCATGCGCAACGACGCACACGATGCGGTGGCGGTTGTGCTCACTCTCCCTGGTGCTATTCAGCCTGGGGAGAGCAAGAGGCGGAAAATTGTCGTCGAAAACGTCTCCGACGCCGACGTCAGCGTACAGGCGGACCGCGAGTCTTCTGTGCATTGGGATCGGTCGCCGAGTTCTGCTCCTCCGCTTTCACCGACTTCACCGGGTGATCCCGACTACGTCGAGGATGTCGTTCAGAATCGCGCGGACGACTTGCACAGGGAGCTGAGGAAGCTTTGGGACGACAGGTACGACGAGGAGTACGATCCGAAAGTCCTCCATCATCTCAGTCTCTTGCTTTTCAAAAAGAGGAAGTCCACGGAGCCAGCGGACACTGATCCAGCTGGCGCTCCTCAGCCTGGCTCGGAATATGACGCGGCCTTTGCGTCTCAGGAGGAGACTGGCCGAGCCATTCTCTCTGTCCTTAAGCTTCGACATGACTTTCTGCGGAGCAAGAACATCGACGACATGCGCTACGTTCTCACGGAGCCTGAGCGCCAGGAATTGGTCAGAGTAGCTCGCGACCAGTACGAGCAGTCGCGGCAGCAGCGTGCGCTTCAGGAACGGGATATCGAAAAGGGAAAAGCGAAAGGCAAGTCTGCGCCACAAGGGGGCCATGCGGTTCCGCAGGGTCCGAACAAAGGGCCAGGCGGTAAGAAAGGTTCTCACGGTGCTTCTCAGCCTGCGGGAAAAGGTGGCCAGGCCAAGGGTGCAGGTCTGGGTAGCGTCGCCAAGTTTGTGAAAGACCAGAAGCGTAAGCGGTGGCATCGCCATTTGCAACGTGTGGCCGGTACTAAACAGATCTGGGAGGTGCTGGCCTTCTCAGGGCGCTTCGACGTTGATTGGTTAACGCAAGCGTTGCAAGCTGATCACAGTGAGGGCCGTGATGCAGCAGTTCCCGAGGAAGCTCTGCGGCAACAGCGGCGCCGGCTGCACCACCAGAAGGCCGAGGCCATCGCGCGCTACAACGAGGGGGAGCGGCTTTCCCTATATCTGTCTGCCCAGGCTGGCCAGGCAAAGCCGAACTTCACGCGCAGGCAGCAGGACGTGTTGCAGATGTTTGAGAGCGGAGCGCTGCTTCAAATCCGCAACCAAGCGATTCTGGCGTGCGGGCACGGCCGTCTGTTCAGGGGCGATGGCGACTACCTGGACATCGGCGGCAGCACGGGCGGTGGCTCCAGGCGCATCATCGATTCTTGGCAGCCGCCGGACTGGCGTGACTTCCTCCAAGACGATCAGGACATCTGAGTTTTGCAAGTCTCTCTGCCCGCGGTGCTTCTCAGCCTGCGGTCTGCCGCTCTCCAGCTGCGGTCTCGAGCAGTAGTGTTCGAAAGCATGCGAGTTCCTGCGGTGCTTCTCAGCCTGCAGGTTTCGCAGCCTGCGCTCTGCAGTACAAGTGCTTTTCAGCATGCGACATCCTGCGGTGCTTCTCAGCCTGCAGGGTTCGCAACGTGCGGTTTGCAATGCATTCCTTTTCAGTATGCGAGTTCCTGCGGTGTTTCTCAGGCTGCAGGGCTCCGAGGCTCTTCGCTTCGATGCCATTGTTTTCAGACACCGTAGCTCCGTTCCGTAAACGTCTTCCAAGAGCCGCTCGCAACCTTTTGCAGCTGGCTGTCTGCACGCTTCGCCGGCTTTTGCTGCGCGGACACTTTTCACACACACGTCAGCGCCGTTTGTAGGCGTCAGAAAAACATGTAGACATTCACGAAGGGCTCAGTCTGTATATCGTCACATCATTACATACGCAGTCGTCGAACACATCGGTGTACATTCAGCGCTTTGTCCTTCTAGCTGGGTTGCTTCGTGCTGAGGCTGAGGCTGATGCAGGCTGAGGCTGAGGCAGGCTGAGGCTGAGGCCGAGGCTGACGGCAGAGGCTGAGGCTGAGGCTGAGGCAGAGGCAGGCTGAGGCTGAGGCTGAAGCTGAGGCAGGCTGATGCTGAGGCAGGCTGAGGCTGAGGCTGAGGCTGATGCAGGCTGAGGTTGAGGCAGTCTGAGGCTGAGGCCGAAGCTGAAGGCAGACTGATGCTGAGGATGAAGCAGGCTGAGGCTGAGGCTGAGGCAGGCTGAGGCTGAGGCAGGCGGAGGCTGAGGCTGAGGCAGGCTGAGGCTGAGGCTGTGACTGCGACTGCCGTTGCCACTGCGACTGTCATCGCGAATGCGACTACGACTGCGAGAACAGCAAAACTCTACAACTGGATTCTCATTTGAATCTTAAGGGGAATGCTTCCAGATATGCTCCTACACATCGCTGTTAGGTTGCTTTGCCGGGATAATTTGAGTATTCCCAATTGTTCGCCCCAAAATCCCCCTGTAGGGGGACAGGCCCGACCTAACATTTGTCCCATCTCTCGCCGCGCCTCGCTCGATCGGATTTCGAGTGCGCCAAACGAAATGAAGGGGAGAAAGAGGAGGAGGGGGAGGGACCGGTGAAAACCGAAGATTCTATAGGCTTACGCCACATCCGCCGACCCCTTGTTTCTTGTGTTGCCGTGTCTGTGGGGGGCCACGGGCCCCGGAAGTGGCACGCCACGTGGGGCCTCTTTTGGGCCTCTTGGGGGCCTCTTGGGGCCTCTTGTGGGCGTCTTCGGGGCCTCTTGGGGCCTCTTGGGGCCTTCTGGGGCCGTCTTGGGGCGGAAGGCTCGGATTGTCGGTTCGGGCTCCCTCTCTTGGGCACCTCTTGGGGCCGTCTTGGGGCCCTCTTGGGCTGTCTTGGGGGCCTCATGGGCCGTCTTGGCGCCCTCTTGGGTTGACTTGGGCGCCTCTTGGGGGCCTCTCGGGGCGGTCTTGGGGTGCTCTGGGACCGTCGTCAACGCCGTGAAGGCCGACAAGTAGTATATGATCCAAATGTACGTTTTCCCATAGGAATTTGACGATTTTCGGCGCTTCGGCCCTTCTGAGGACTGCTCTTGGAGGCCTCTTGGGCCGTCTTGGAGGCCTCTAGGCTCATCTTGGGGGCATCTTGGGCGTCTGGGAGCGCTCGTTTGGCGCCCCGGAGCCCTCGTGAGCCGTCTTGGAGGAGTCTTGGGGCCTTCTTGGCCCGTCTTGATCCCCTTTTGGGCCCAAAAGAGCCCCGTGGCGCGCTCGTGGTGGGCCCGGGGGGGGGGGGTCAAATCTCCGGTTTTGGGTCCCAGGGGGGGGGGTTAGGGGGGGGGAACTATCTCACACGCCTAGAGACCCACAAGGGGTCGGCGGACTCCCCAACGATGTTGGAAAAATCCCCCCTCCAAGCTCCCCCCTCATAGCCCCCTACAGGGATTCATTTCCACTGAGAGAAGTGCCCGTTGGGAGACAACCGTCTCAAGATCCCGAAGCGTGCCAAAACATTACTCCCGGGATTCCAACGCCACGAATCATTTTGACTGCTGCGTCCTGACGATGCTGAATCGTGCCAGAACGCGATTCCTAGAATCTCAACACCGTGAATCAACGTAACTATTGCGCCCTGGCAGTCGGGAATGGTTCCAGAACGCCGTTTCTGGTACGCTAGCTTTTGGGGGGAAAATCCGTGACATTCTTGCAGATGCTTAAGACACATGTGCACGGCATCACTGCGAGAGCCACATCTGGGACAAAAAGCGCCCTCAATCTGTGAAGTTTCGCTTTCTTTCACAACGATTGCACGCAGCGCGAAGGCGAGAAACACATGTTGAAAACCACCGGCCTTCATCCGTGAAGCACTGGTGCATTTTCACCACGACTGCGTGCTGCGTTACAGCGCCAACGACATACGCCCTCCATCCGTGAAGTGACTGCAGATGTTGAAAACGAACGCGCGCGGCGAGATGGCGAGAGCCACGTGTGAAAAACCGCCCACCCTCCATCTATGAAGCAGTCGCCAATCTTGCAGCAGTCGCCAATTCTGGAGTTCCAGGAGCAGAAATGGCGACGGGGTCTCAGGCAGAACGCCCGGCCCGCGCTTCCGACTGGTGTCGGGGTACGACGGGGAAGCGCTGCTATACGGTAAATATGAATCGGGAGAGGAGGGAAGATGGCGGAGGATGAGGAGCCAGATTGGTGGCGATGGCGGCCCGAACCAGGGACCATGATGCTCAGAGGGGAGGGCGAATCGAGCTTTGACATCCCGCGCCTCAAGCGGATTGGGGCTCGGCTGGCACTTCCCGCACCTGCCCGAGGCTCCGATCGGTCCGGCCGCAGCCGCTGTGGCGCAAGGACCGGCCGCCCCCGCCAGAGGGCCGTCTCTGCGGAGCCCTCGCCGCGCCGTCCCGCCGAAGAGCGGGCGATGGGGGAGATCGTGCCCACGGAGGAGAGCGGGCGACGAGTCGGGGCCCGCGTAGCGGGGGTCGGCGCCAACGCGGGTCGGCCAGCCCCCTCTGCCTGACCCAGGCGTGGGAGCCACGCGGAGTTGCTGCCCCCTTTCCGCCCTCCACCGGCCCGGGGTCGGGAGCCACTGAGCCAGTCACTGAGCGGCCAGGCCGGCTTTGCGATCGAGCCTTGGATTTCTGTGGACCCGGGTTGGTGCGATCCCGAGCGAAATCTGCTGTCGGGAACTTTGGGTTAGCGTGTCGCTTCGCCGGATTTAACCCACCACGCGTCGGCGCGACACTCCATCTACGTCCCCTTTTCTAAGCGCCAGTTTCCCGAGCCTTCCTGGGCTTCCCGCCCCGCGGACCCAAACGACACGCGATCCGCTTGCAAAGCATAGCGTGCGGCCGGCCCGAGGTATGAGATCGCGGTCGATTCGGGGAGGGTGCCCTAATCAGAGTGAGGGGACCGAACGGTCATTCATTGTCCATGGGTGCGTGGCTGAATAAGGCATTCGTGGTGAAAACTATGCTTGTTGCGTTGTTGTTGTCGTCGTCGTCGTCGTCGTTGTTGTTGATGTTGTTGAATGTTCATTACTAGGCAATGATTATGGTTGGACACCTTAAAGGCGCCCTGGCGCTCTCGCCGAGACACCGGCTACATTTTTATTGCAAATGAGGCTCACGCTCGAGCGGTTTGGGGGACCGCCCAAACCGGCCCCCCAACAGCAACAACGCTCCCGCTCGAGACTTCCTCTTTTTTAACTCAGGGCTGATGCTCTTGCTCGCCGCCGAAAGCCGCCGTCCTAACAAATCCAGTGCTCCCGCTCGAGACTTCCTCCCGTGATGCCTTGGACTGGCGCGCTAGTCTTTCTCTCATCGGCGCCGCCCCCAGCAAAAACAACGCTCGCGCTCGAGGCTTCACCCCTTTTTTCTCAAGGCGGTGCTCCTCCTCGCCGCCGAAAACCGCCGCCCCGACGAAACCAGCGCTCCCGCCCGAGACTTCTTCCATTGTACGCTGGACTGGTGCCCTACTCTCTTTTGAATTGGCGCCGCTCCCAGCAAGAACAACGCTCCCGCTCGAGCCCTCTTCCCTTTTTCCTGAAGACGGTCCTGTTCCTCGCCGCCGACAGCCCCCGTCCCGACAAAACCACGGCTCCCGCTCGATGTTTTCTCGTTTCTTACTCAAGGCGGTGTTCCTCCTCGCCGCCGAAAGCCGCCGCCCCGACAAAACCAGCGCTCCCGCCCGAGACTTCGTTTTGTGTTACGCTGGACTAGCGCCCTATTCTCTTCAGCATTGGCGCCGCTCCCAGCAAGAACAACGCTCCGTCTCGAGATTCCCTCCCTTTCTATTCAGGGCCAGGTCTTTGCCTCACCGCCGACAGCCCCCATCCCCATCAAGGCAATCCTGTCGTTCGATAATCCCTTGTGCTTTACCCTTCGCTGGGGTTCCACTAGCGGTCTCGCATTGACGCAGCAAGGCGCGGGCATGTGTTTTCGAGGCGGGATCTGTTGAAATTCCTCGGGGGAGGTGTTTGCAAGACCTCATTGGGCGGGAGATCTGGGACTGGGAATACCGGACCCCGCTATAGAACCAGAGTCCCCCATTACGTGGATGGTTGTCATGATGGTCGCATGCTTCGTGTGGAAACATCGCGCATGATGGTCGAATGATTGTTGTTGTTGTTGTTGTTGGTGGTGTTCTTGTTGTTGTTGTGTTGTTATTGTCGTTATTGTTGTTGTTGTTGTTGTTGTTGTTGTTGCTGCTGTTGTTGTTGTTGTTGTTGTTGTTGTTGTTGTTAGTGTTGTTGTTGGTGTTGTTGTTGTTGTTGTTGAACATTATTTATTCTAAAGAATAATTATTGTTGGGCCCCCTGGTGCGCGCCCCCCCTGCGCCGCCTAGGCCGCAGCTACATTTTCATCATTTTCGTGAGGAAGCCTCAGGAAAACGATGTGATACAGATCCGGTTGTTTTGTTGTAATCCGCTTTCCCTTGCAAAAAACAATAGAAAATGACATTTCTTGTTCTAATATAATCAAATTTCAAGAATCCCTTGCAAAAAATAAGGTAAAGTGGACATTCGCGCGCGCAAGACGAAATCCTTCCAAAAGCTTAGTGTTCGGAGCGATTTTAACATAAAAACATCAAAAAACCAATGGTTTTTCAACAAAAAATGTCAAAATCTCATCCCGCGCGCTCTTGCGGATTCGTAGGAAACCCAACACTTTTTAAACATTTCTGTCAAACGGGCTTTTGCGAGCAACTTTTTCGAACTTCTGCAACAACGGTTGCGCACCTGCCAGGGCCATCATCCCTGTCAAATAATACCATGCGGGACACATTCGTTTTTTCTTCGCGCGCGCACGCCGTCGTCGTCGGCCGCGGGGCCCTGAATAGTAGCCACGGTCGTCCGCATGCCACGAAGTGAAGTGTCCGAACGTCATAGGGCGGGAAGCTGGGTGTGGGTGGTGGCGAAGAGTCGTTTGGAAATTTGGTAGAGCTTGAACCGGCCCCCCCACAAAGTGGGGGTATTGCCCGCCTCCTATGAAAACCCTGGCACTGGTGAGAACGGAGTGTCCCTTAAAGTGATTGTTGTTGTTGTTGTTGTTGTTGTCGTTGTCGTTGTCGTTGTCGTTGTCGTTGTCGTTGTCGTTGTCGTTGTTGTTGTTGTTGTTGTTGTTGTTGTTGTTGTTGTTGTTGTTGTTGTTGTTGTTGTTTCTTGCCGTCGTCCCACCCGCGACCCACCCGCGACCCACCCCGCGACCCACCCCGCGACCCACCCCCAGCGACCCACCCTGCGACCCACCCCGCAACCCAACCCGCGACCCACCCGCGACCCACCTCGCGACCCACCCGCGACCCGCCCGCGACCACACCTGCGACCCACCCGCGGCCCACCCCGCGACCCATCCGCGACCCACCTGCGACCCACCCGCGATCCACCACGCGACCCACCCGCGACCCACCCCGCGACCCACCCTCAAATTAGGAAAAACCATCCCGACCCGACAGTTGACTTTTACCAAAACGGCCCTGGGCGTTGACTAAGCAGCCCTGCTCTGTTCGATTCATTCCTTGTGTGCGTTTGCTACACGGCTTCGCTTGTCGGGGTGATTATGGGGTGGATTTTCTGCCCTCTACACCCGCGACCCACCCGCGACCCACCCGCGACTCAACAGCGACCCACCTGCGACCCACCCGCGACCCACCCGCGACCCACCCCGCGATCCACCCGCGACCTGCCCACATTAGTTTAACAAAAAATCGGCGTCTGCGGCGGGCTCATTGTAGAAATTGTTAACCTTTGGCGCCTGCGACGGGCTTCTCCAGAGTCTCGCAATCTGCCGACGTCCCCACCGCCCCCTCACTCTCATCCGCATCTGCGGGGTGCTATATTCTTGGTGCTTGTTTGATTCTCTTGTGCATCCTAGGGGGAGGTACCCTTGGCTGTTTTGTTTGTTTTGGCCGTCGGAGGGTCTCAGTTCTTGAGGGATGCTTTTCTGCCATAGGTTCGACTGTACCTCGCCCTCCTCCTCATTCTTCTACGCTCGTCTTCTCTTCCCCCTCCTTAGACATGCGACGTCCTGATTTTACATTACAGGTTCCCTGGATGTCCCGACCCTTTCCCCTGGACCGGCTTTTCATCCTGAGTCGGTCCCGAGGCCCGGCGAGGGCTCCCAGATGCGAAAACGGCCGAAAACCGCCCGTCCTGATTCTTGTCCGGCGGAGTGTCTCGTGTTCTCGAAGGGTGTTCTTCAGTTGTATTTCCGACTGCTTCCCCGGGCCTTTCCACGTCTGAGCGCCCTCCCGTGCCCCTCCCTCCGCGCGGCCGCCCCCGTTTTGTTCCTCCTTGCCCGCTGGAGAAGTCGTTTGTCCCTTGCCCCGAATACCCCCACGGTGGAGCGGACTGCCTCTGCCTTGCCGCTGACGCCTCCTCCTCCTCCTTCTCCTCCTTCTCCTCCTCCTCCTCCTTCTCCTCCGCCGCCTCGCCGCCGACGGACAAAGTTTCCCGAGCAGAAGCTCCCGGCCGGGGGCCGCCGCCCCTGGCCCGGGGGGCGTGCGCGACCTCGAGTTCTGTCCCGAGCGGCCGCCAGAGGCCCGGGTTGTGTCCCGAAGACCAGCTGTGACGGGGATGCGGCCTGGCCGACGTACACGATCGAGGTCGGTTCGGGGAGGGTGCCCCACCCAATGCTCTCCGTGTTTGCTGGACGTGCTTGCGCATCACCCCAGGGGAGGGCACCCTCGAATGTTCTTCGGTTTGGGCTGGCGGCGGGTCTCATGTCCTTGAGGGGTGGTCTTCTGTCCGGGGTCCGACTGTATAGATCTCGTTACCCTAGCATCGGCATCACCCCAACTCGTGGCCCTAGGATTGGTGTCACCCCAACATACTAATACTATGGGTGCGTCGCCCCCCCAGGGTGACGTGCGCATTGAAAAATCTTGTAGTATACGCTCTATGGCGGGTGCTTCCTGGTCATACTGCTCGTGAAGCGATCTGCTGCAATGTGTTTGTGCTAGACGTTCGGGTCGAGCGCACGCCTCCCAGGCGGACACATATTACTAATATGTCCATCTGCGCCCCATTGGTCAAGGAAGGAAACACCACCCGGACCCGATAGTTGGCGTTTACTCAACGGCCCCGGGCATTTATTAAACACCCCTGCCCTGTTCGATTCCTTCTGTGGGTGCGTTTACTAAGCGGCTTCGCGCGTCGGGGTGATTCTTATGGGGGTGGATTTTCTGCCCTTTAATAGGAGAGGATTCCCCGGTGGGACGGCAGCGAGTTCATCGCGTACGGTGCCTCGGGCCTGGAGGTGCGGCTGCCCTATGAGCTGCACGACCACTGCGGCTTCCGCGCCACGCAGATCCGGGAGCTGGCCTTGATGGGCCCATTTTCCCCCCCCGCTACCATAGGTAGGAGAGGGAGCAGGAGGAGGAGGAGGAGGACCTCCTCATCCTCCCTTCTCCCCTTCTCCCCCGTCCTCCTACATATGGAAGTGGTGGTGGAACATTTGCCCATCAGGCCTGGGCCTTCCAGCTCTCCGACGTCATGGAGGACGGGCTGGTGTCCACCAAGGATCGCGTAGGAGATCGACTGCATAATTGATTCACCCCAAAAATTGACTCCCTAGTCGAATCTGGGAGCAAGTTCGTAGAATGCACAGCATATTAATCTAACATGTATGCATGCTTAGATGGATTCGACGGGAAATCAGTCTTCGGGGTGAAGCACCTGTGCAGTCGATCCCCTACTCGGAAGGAGGCTAGGATAATGGTCGGCAGGCTCGGCGAGGACCCGAACGACGGCGACTGGCTGAAGATGTTGAACGAGATCGATCAGCACACGAGGGGCGTGCTGGACTTCCAGCACTTCGTGAAGCTGATGTCCTTCTTCGACCGGAACATGGTCACGGAGGACGAGCTCGTCAACGCCTTCAAGATATTCGACAAGGATCGCAGCGGCTCCATCGACGCCATCGAGATGCAAGATTTGATGAAGAAGCTGGGCTTCCCCATGAGCCCCCTCGAGGCCCACGCAATGATCTCCGAAGCGGACGATGACGACAGCGGCGAGGTGGGCTACAGTGAATTCGTGAATAAGATTTTGAACTCCCAGTGAGGGTGCTAGCTCCGTCCCGCATGCGCTGCCATGATGACAGAGCGCGCTGGCTATAGCAGAGGTTTGTGTTATCAGGGGCGGGAGCGCGGCGAGAGTCGACTAGCCACGGTAATCGTAGTAGTGGTGGGTGTCAACCCGTACGGGAGAGCTCGGGTGGATACGAGGCGCGACGGGTGTTGGCCAGGAAGGGTCGGCGCGGCGTACAGCGGGTTGGGTAGGGGGGGCGGGCTGATAGGGCGGCGATTGCGCAGGGAACCAGCCCTTGACGTGGACTCGAAGGGGGGGCGATTGGCATTGGTAGAGGGAACTGTACAGGTTTCACGCTCTAGGTCCTTGAACCCCGTGTAGCGACTGGTCCCCCATTCCCTTTGGAAGGGGAGCGCCTGCGCCTTCGCACACAAAAGCATTTCGATCATCGACACTCCGCGTAACCCCACCAGCCATACGATGGTCAGGCGAGTGGCCTTGCTCATGGCATTGTAGGGGCAGACCATATCCTGCAGCAGCGTATCGCATCATGGAATACGGCATACGATAGAAACTTAAACTCGCCATCCGTATACTGCATTGCATCAGTATCGTAGCACACATCCACGCACATCGCTTCATTACACATCTTGCCACCCGCATCGCGTAACACAGCACGTGACTTCCAGACACATCGCAGTACGTAGTAGTTGCTTACAGTGCGTAATACAACACCATTTGACATTCCGTAGAGGACCATGGCATGACGTGTGCGCTAGACACCGACGCCCGTGTCAGCTTTTTCATGCTCCCAACCTCCTGTGCCGAGTTGGGTCCTCGTGCTGAATTCGCAGGGCCGCGCATCCGGTACCTCCCTTGTTCTTCCTCCCACTCCTCCTCCTCCTCCTCCTCCTCCTCCTCCTCCTCCTCCTCCTCCCTCTCCCCCTCCTCCTTCGCCTCCTCGTTTCCTCCTCCTCCTCCTCGTCCTCCTCCTCCTCCTCTTCCTCCTCCCACTCCTCCTTGCCTAAGCTTTCCGCGTGCCCATCTACATGCCCATTTCGGTACACCCACGTGTGTGTGACAGATGTGCACGGCTTCGCCCCGCCCAGTTTTCGGGCTCTTCCGCCTCGCGACGTAGCCATACACAGGAAGCTCCACCGAGGGCCCCCTTGTAGCAAATCGCACGGCCCCGCCCCATGTCGTCACACACCCCGCGCTCGTCGTAGCTCCATACGGAGCTTCATCAAGTGTAGGGGCATACCGTATGGCAGCGCCAGGCCCAACTCGGCATCCCCCCCCCCCCCACCACGCGTCGTTGTCCTATAGGAAGCTCCATTCAGGGTCCCAGTGGGACAGATCGCATGGCGCCTCCCCGCCCATGCCAGCACACCCCTCGCACGCTTCGTGGCTCCATAGGGAGCTCCACCCGAGGGTCGGGTGGTGGTGACCGCATGGCGTCCATCCTCCAATTTCGGCACGCCCATCACGCGTTTTTAGTCCCACAGGGAGCTTCACCTACGGTCTCAGCGGGCGCGACCTCATGAGGTCTCCGCCCACATGTCGGCGCACCCCTCACACGTTTCGTGGCCTCCATCCGCATTGCCCTGATCTCTATCCCACGGCGCGCTACCTATGAGGAGAAAGTGACAGTATGCGTTGCCCGCAGCTGCACTGCACCCTAGCGGCAGAATGCCCCAATGAGTTTCTTCAGCAGATAGCAAGGGTCATCATATCAGGGCTGGACCTAAACGCCGTTTTGCTGGATCTCGGTTGTGTTTGGTTGTTGGTTTTGGCATGGAGGTACAGGAAAACAGGTCGAGCAAACCGAACCACAAAACGAACACAACACGAACAACAAAGTTTAGGTCCAGCCCTGTATGAGGGTCGACGGAGTTGCCATCACTGGAAGCCCGCGGATCTCTTCCGCGGCGGAAGGCGGCGGAAGTAAAATGGCGGCGGAAGCAAAAGTCGGCCTCCCAAGGGATGACAGTATTTTTGGGTTCAGGGTTTCCGGAATCGGCCGCATGGTCCTCTGATAGGGGAACAAACAATGACATGGCCTAAACATTCGGGACACCACACGGTAGAGCAAATCAGAGACCCTACGGGAGACTCTACGGGCGACCACGCGGGAGGCCCTGCGGGAGGCCGCGCGGGAGACCGTGCAGGCGACCCTGCTGGAGACCATCCGGTCACCGATTCCGGCGCCAGCCACGGAGCCTCTGCCGAAGAAGAGAAACGAGCCTAGGCATCGTTCGGACGTGTACATTTTCATTCGGCGAGGACCATCGAGGAATATCCTTGATCGTTTGGCGAAGGAACCACGCACGAAACCGAACAAAAACACGGAATGGACGTCCGAGCGATGGCCAGAAACTGTAAGCATACACTTTTGGCGCGAGACTGATCCACGCGTTGACGCTGATCACGGTCGACGGTGACCAAGATGGACATTATGTTTCTGCGTTCGAAGAAGAACAAGCGCCATAATCATAAACTTTTGGCGCTCCGCGCGGATTTCTTGGATCCGCGCTGGGCCCCCCAGCGGCGCCTCCGGCGCCGCCCCTGGCGCGCTCCGCGCGCCAGGGAGGGGGGTCCAGCGCGGATCCAGGAAATCCGCTCGGAGCGCCGAATGTTTATGTTTATGGGCTTTTTTCTTCTTCTGCTCTGGCCCTTCTCACGTGCTGTCTATCGGAATCCGGGCAGGCAATCTGTGCAGGAAGCAAACGAGAACTCCTTAGGCAGGTCTAATTGGGCAAAGGGCAAAGGCCATTGGTCTTGAATAGAATCGTCCATCTCCCCCTCGCTCATTTTCTTACCTGCCCCACCCCCCACTCCCCCTCTCTTTCTTCCTTCTTCCTTCCCCTCCCGCCCCCCTCCTTGTGACAGGAGCGACCGACGCCTCCGTTTTTGCAATCCTCCGCGAGGCGGTTCGGCCCGAGGCACGTGTGTTCTTGGTCAGGCCGCCCCATGCCCGCTACCTGTATCACGATCCGTATGGCAGGGATGTCGTTGTTGACCTCCGCGCTGCTCTTGTGGCTGCCGGCGGCCGGTCTGGGCATCACCCGAGGAAGAAACATGTTGCACAAGCAGGAACTTTCCAGAGGTGCCGCCAGGGGTGTCAGCACCGACCGTTGCTCTCCGACAGTTTCTGTTTGCGGTGGGGGAGTTCGTCAAGGAACGGGCCTGGGAGGCTTCGGGCCGTGGGGGGGTCCTTATCTAATGAGGGTGTGGGTGATATCCATGGCCGAGCCTCAATTGGTGTCCCACTGGCTTCCAGACCCTGGACTCCTCATCCAAGAGTGTCTTTTCCAAGGCTCTCGCCGAAGTTTATGCTTCTGCGCTCTTTCTTCTTCGAGCATCGTGGACCCTAGCAGGACTCCGGGCACAATACATTGCCGCAGTCGCAACTGAGTGGATATTGTGGGAGGCCCCCTCGGGGGAGATCCCACCGACAGCGACATGAGCACTGCCGTTGTGGTTGTGGTCGATCTGGCCGTCCCGGGATGTCACATCGACCACAGCCAGTACGAAGCTGGCCGTGGTGTTCCGACAATTCTTGGCATGCGCAAGACATCCCCCAGAGAAACTTCACGGGAGTGCGATGCTGAATGTGTTGTGGGCTGCTGCAGCGGCTCAGAAAGGAGGCGGAGGAGGAGGAGGACGAGGAGGAGGAGGAGGAGGAGGAGGAGAAGGAGTGTGTCCTCGACATGGTTGTGGTCGCTTGCTGTCCCCGCACGGATCGGGGAAGCGTACGACTCGAGCTCGCTGGAGCTCGGGCTTGCCGCTGGCTTTTGTTGACGAGCCCGTCCTGGACTTGGACGGCACAGCTCTCGTGGGACATTTGCAGCGGGAGCTCGCGTGAAATCTCGGACTGGGCCTCGTCATTTCCTTGACGGCCCCGTCGGGCCAACCCGAGCCAGTCTTTCGCCTCCCCGAAAGGAAGGCGCACTCGGAGTCCGCGCACCGGGGCCACAAGCGAGGGAAGAAACTCGGGGACCATGACCAAGAAAACGCGGGATCGTGTCGATGCTGTAAGAACGGTTTTGTTGAAGGCAGATCTGCCTTCAAAAAACCGTTCTTACAGAGTAGACCAGTTTTTTGAAGGCAGATCTGCCTTCAACAAAACCGTTCTTTTTGAAGGCAGATCTGCCTTCAAAAAACCGTTCTTACAGAGTAGATCCTGGTCATGGTCATGGTCCATGTGGGCCGTCGCCGATTCGCGAGAATGATCCGCGCGTTGACGCTGATCAAGATCGACGGTGACCAAGACGGACCCTACGCTTCCGCGTTCGAAGAAGAGCAAGCGCCATAAACATGAACTTTTGGCGCTCCGTGCGGATTTCTGGGATCCGCGCTGGGCCCCCCCGGCGGCGCCTCTGGCGCCGCCCCTGGCGCGATCTGCGCGCCAGTGGGGGGGGTCCAGCGCAGATCCAAGAAATCCGCTTGGAGCGCAAACAGTTACTGTTTATGGCATGTTTTGTTTCTTCCATGGCAGGTTCGCCTCGTGTCGACCGGCGGCGACCCCAGCGCGGGCGTTTGAGATTCAACGCCGCCTGTTGCCCAGAATCGGCCCATCCTTGAACGATCCGGCCTTCTTGGAAAGGGCCCATCGTTAAGTTTGAAGGACCCCCGCGGTGTCAGGAGCCAGCGCTGGGGTCCACACGACGCGAACCTGCCGTACGCGTTCAGTCTTGGTTTAAATCGGGCCTGTCCCACTACAGGGGGAATGTTCAAAAATAGTCAAAATTATCCCGGCAAAGCAACCTAACAGCGATGTGTAGGAGCATATCTGGAAGCATTCCCCTTAAGATTCAGATGAGAATCCAGTTGTAGAATTCTGTTGTTCTCGCAGTCGTAGTCGCATTCGCGATGACAGTCGCAGTGGCAACGGCAGTCGCAGTCACAGCCTCAGCCTCAGCCTGCCTCAGCCTCAGCCTCAGCCTGCCTCAGCCTCAGCCTGCCTCAGCCTCAGCCTCAGCCTGCTTCAGCCTCAGCCTCAGTCTGCCTTCAGCCTCGGCCTCAGCCTCAGCCTGCCTCAGCCTCAGCCTGCATCAGCCTCAGCCTCAGCCTCAGCCTGCCTCAGCATCAGCCTGCCTCAGCCTCAGCCTCAGCCTGCCTCAGCCTCAGCCTCAGTCTGCTTCAGCCTCAGCCTCAGTCTGCCTTCAGCCTCGGCCTCAGCCTCAGCCTGCCTCAGCCTCAGCCTGCCTCGGCCGCAGCATCAGCCTGCCTCAGCATTCAAAATGTGGCCCAGGAATGGAATTCTGGGAACTAGAAGAACACGAAGTGGCCTACAGTTGGCTCCGGGCATTCAAAATCATGCCCAGGAATGGAGTTCTGGGAACTCGAAGAGCACGAAGTGGCCTACAGTTGGCTCCGGGCATTCAAAATGTGGCCCGGGAATGGAGTTCTGGAAACTCGAAGACCACGAAGTGGCCTACAGTTGGCTCCGGGCATCCAAAATGTGGCCCGGGAATGGAGTTCTGGGAACTCGAAGACCACGAAGTGGCCTACAGTTGGCTCCGGGCATCCAAAATGTACGCCGGGAATGGAGTTCTGGGAACTCGAAGACCACGAAGTGGCTTACAGTTGGCTCCGGGCATCCAAAATTTACGCCGGGAATGGAGTTCTAGCAGCGCCAAGAGCGATTTTGCGAGGATGTCCCAGGCGATTTGGGCTTCGACGGCAGCCGCCCCAGGTCCAACCCGGACCCCCCTGTGGAGTCATTTGCTGCTCTCTTTTGACACCACTAGAAACCTATCAGTCTTCGCTGTTAGGTAAAATAGTCTGGGGATTATGTTTTAGTATTTATTGGCATCTTTTGATTATTGCCTAACCATCCTGTGGTGCTGGGTCCTCGTTTTGAAGAGGCTGTGCCCCGCGTTCCTCCTCTCCTCCTCTTCCCCCTCCTCCTCCCTCCTCCCTCTTCCATGCGCTTCACCCACCCAGCACAGCGTTTCGTGGCCCCATAGGGAGCTCCACCGAAGCCCCCGGTGGGACCGCCTGCATGCGTCCGCCACCACCCAGCACAGCCCTTGCTCCCTGCGTTGCACCCACCCAGTACAGCGTTCCGCGGGCGTCCCCCACACCCGATTTGGCACATCCCCCTCACACGTTTCGTGGCCCCATCGGGAGCTCCACCGAAGGCCCCAGTGCCACCGCCCGCATGCATCCCCCACGCCCATTTCAGAACGCCCCTCACACGTTTCGTGGCCCCATAGGGAGCTCCACCGAAGGCCCCAGTGCCACCGCCCGCATGCGTCCCCCACACCCAATTTGGCACACCCCCCTCACACGTTTCGTGGCCCCATCGGGAGCTCCACCGAAGGCCCCAGTGCCACCGCCCGCATGCGTCCCCCCACCCGTTTCAGCACGCCCCTCACACGCTTCGTAGCCCCATAGGGAGCTCCACCGAAGGCCCCAGTGCCACCGCCCGCATGTGTCCCCGGCACACCTCACACGTTTCGGCACCTCTCCCCTCACACGTTTCGCGGGCCCATAGGGAGCTCCACCGAAGGCCCCAGTGCCACCGCCCGCATGCGTCCCCACACTCATTTCAGCACACACCTCACACGTTTCGTGGCCCCATAGGGAGCTCCACCGAAGGCCCCAGTGCCACCGCCCGCATGCGTCCCCACACCCATTTCGGCACACCCCTCACACGTTTCGTGGCCCCATAGGGGCTCCACCGAAGGCCCCAGTGCCACCGCCCGCATGCGTCCCCCACACAATTTTCGGCACACCCTTACACGCTTCGTGGCCCCATAGGGAGCTCCACCGAAGGCCCCAGTGCCACCCGCCCGCATGCGTCCCCACTCCAATTCGCCCCCCCCCCCCCCCCCCCTCACACGTTTCGTGGCCCCATAGCGAGCTCCACCGAAGGCCCCAGTGCCACTGCCCGCATGCGTCCCCCACACTCATTTCAGCATACCCCTCACACGTTTCGTGGGCCCATTGGGAGCTAGCTCCACCGAAGGCCCCAGTGCCACCGCCCGCATGCGTCCCCCACACCCAATTTGGCACATCTCCTCACACGTTTCGTGGCCCCATCGGGAGCTCCACCGAAGGCCCCAGTGCCACCGCCCGCATGCGTCCCCCACACCCGTTTCAGCACACCCCTCACACGTTTCGTGGCCCCATATGGAGCTCACAGCTGCATCTGGTCGGGTCCATCGCCACGGTAATATTTATTTGTCGTTCAAAATCCTCCTGTAGGGGGACAGGCCCGACCTAAGCCTTGGTCATGGTCCCCGTTTTTCTGCCCCTCCACAGAAGGCCGCTGCAGAGGCCGTGCGGACTGCGGCAGTCGCTGGCGGTGCCGAGCCGCCGGCGCCCAGCGTGACCGACCGGAGCCGCACCGTGGAGTCCTTCATGAGCCGGCGGGCAGGTCACCAGCCTTGAAGCCCCAGCCGTACATCGGGCGTGTTCCTCTACAGGAGGAAAATTCAGAACAGTCAAAACATGATCTGGGGACGAATTTTGAGACTATTTTTTAAACTAGTTTACAATAGTTTCTGACTATTCTTTATCTTTCGTCCCAAATCCGCCTCTAGGAGGACATGCCCGACCTAACCGTATCCCTCGGGCGCAACGTCACGAGGGAGATTTCAAGCAGTGGCGACGCGTCCTGGCTGGCCTACAGGCCCACCAAAGAATGTTCTAGGAATCTTGCGTGGTCTGCACGAAATGTTCTTAGATCCTTTCTGGCCGAGGCTGTCTTGTTTGAAAACGTCGGGCTTATGTGCTAAGAATCTTGCTGTTGTACTTGGAACATTTTAGGGGTTCTACGAACACTTCGTGGTAGACCTATAGGAATGCCAGGACGGCCAGTCCCTGCTAAAGATGTGTTCCCAACCATCCTGTGGTGTTGGGTCCTCGTTTTGAACATTGGAGGGGGGAAACATACCCATACTTCTACTCTTTCGTCGTTTTTCCTTGCTTGGGCCTCCTGGGAGGCTCTCGTCGCCACCGCTGGATTCGCTTTGAAATGCTTGCCAGAACGCACCCCAGGGGAGGTCCGGGGAGTGGCGCTTTCGGTATCTTGTGGCTTCTCCAGATTTGCGGACTGCACCCCGCGTCCCTGCCTCCCTCCCGCCTCCTACGTGTCGTGGTCCCAGAGGGAGCTCCACCGAAGGTCCCAGTGGCACCGTCCGCATGCGCCACCGCCACCCATTTCAGTACACCCTCACACGTTTCGTGGCCCCATGGGAGCTCCACCGAAGGTCCCACTTGCACCGTCCGCAAACTTCATCCAGTTCGGCACACCCTTCGCGCGCTTCGTGGCCCCATAGGGAGCTCCACCGAAGGTCCCAGCGGCGCCGTCCGCATGCGTCCCCGTCATTCATTTGGGTATACCACTCACACATTTCGAAACCTCATATGGATCTTCACCGAGGGTCCCAGTGGCACCGTCCGCATGCGTCCCTTGCTACCCATGTCGGTACACCCCTCTCACGTTTCGTGGTCCCATAGGGAGCTCCAGCCAAGGTTCCAGTGGCGCCGTTCGCATACCGCCGCCAACCCCCACTTTGGCGCATCCCTCACACGTTTCACGGCCCCGTAGGGAGCTCCGCCTAAGACCCAAGTGGCTGCGTTCACCCCTCACACATTTCGTGACCCCAATCGGGAGTTTTGCCTGAGGCCCCAGTGGCTCGTGCGCATGCCGCCGCCACCCTACTTTGGCGCACTCCTCGCACGTGTCGTGGCCCCGTAGGAGGCTCCGCCTAATGCTCCAGTGGCTGCTTTTGCATGCCGCCGCCGCCACCCCATTTGGGCGCACCCCTCACATGTCTCGTGGCCCCATAAGGCTCTCCGCCTAATGCCCCAGTGGCTGCGTTCGCATGCCGCTGCCACCCCAACTTGGCGCAGCCCTCACGCGTTCCGTGGCCCCATCGGGAGCTTCGCATAAGGCCCCAGTGGCTGCGTTCGCATGCCGCTGCCACCCCACTTTGGCGCACCTTTTCTTCGCTACGTGGCCCGATAGGGGAGCTCCGCCTACGGCCCGAGTGGCTGCGTTCGCATGCCGCCGCCACCCCACCTTGGCCTACCCTCACGCGTTCCGTGGCCCCATGGGGAGCTGCGCCTAAGACCCCAGCGATTGCGTTTGCATGCCGCCGCCATCCCACTCTGACGCACTCCTCATACGAATCGTGCCCCAGTGGTTACGCCCGCATGCCGCCCGCCACCCCACTTTGGCACACCCCTTGCACTTGTCGCTCCCCCAGGGGAAGCTCCACCGCAAGCCCCGTTGCGCCCGCATGTTGCCAGCACCCCACTTTGGCACACCCCTCGCACGCTTCGTGGCCCCATGGGAGCTCGGCCCAATACCCTGGTGGCTGCGCTCGCATGCAGTCTCCAGACCATTTCGACAGACCTCTCACGTTTCCTCTGCCGCGAAGGGGGCTCCACCGAAGGCCCCGATGGCAGGAATCGCATGCGTCACCTCGCCCATGTTGGCACACCACTCATACGTGGCCCCATAGGGGGCTCCGCCTAAGGCCCCCGTGGCAGGAATCGCATGCGTGGCCGTATGCATTTCGGCGCACCCCTCGCACGTTTCGTGTCCCCCTTGGGAGCTCCACCGAAGGCCCATCGGCAGGAATCGCATGCGTGACCACGCCCATTTTGGCTCACCCCTCGCACGTTTCGTGGCCCCGTAGAAGTTCCACCAAAGGCTCCACCGTCTGCTGCTCCCCAGACCGCGCCCTGCTGCTCCCCGGGGCCAGGCCGACAGACACTCAGTTCAGCCGTCGTTGCGGCTGACCCCTGCGACCTCATCAGCAGTGTCGCTCCGTCCTTCTGCTAGCCCCTTCGCTTAGTTTCACCTGTCTTGCGGTACTCGCAGCAGCATGCGGTTGAGTCCTCCGCCAGGCTACTTTAGCCTGGGAGTTTTTCTTGCCCTCTGGTGCCGGTCTCGAGGGCCCCCTCGGTTTCTCAGGGCGCACCGCTGAGATTGTCATCGTCTCGGGCTTGCCAACCTCAGGGACTGGGATGAGCTCGAAGCTGGTTGGCAGGGGAACAGCTCGCGGAGCAGGGCTGCCTACCGGAGCTCGACGCGCAGGTTCGGAAGCTGGGCTTCAGCCAGGAGAACAGCAGAAACGACACAGCCATAACTGTCGGAGGTCCGCGCTGATTTCTCGGGCATGGCCAGGCGTGGCCTGGGCAAAGGTGAACCCCAGACTTGCCAGGGAGGCGCAGGCGACTTCCGGAGCCCCCCCCCCCCCGAGGCCCCGAGAGCTCGAGAGGGCTCGGCATGAGGCGGGAAGCTGGGAGCACCCCCGGCCAGGACCACTGCCGGCAGCACCCACTGTGTTTTTTGGCCGGCGCTGGACCCCCCTTCCCCTGGCGCGAAAAGCGCGCCCGGGTCGGCGCGCCAGAGGCGCCACCCAGGGGGGTTTGGCGGCGCGCGCAAGGGGGTGGGGGGAGGGGGGAGGGCTTCTTAGAAGGAGGCTGCTTCTTAGAAGGCGCCGGCCTTATGTCTTTAGATAAGGCCCGCGCCTTCTAAGAAGCAGGGGTGCTTCTAAGAAGCCCTCCCCCCTCCCCCCACCCCCCTCTGCGCGCGGCTGAGGTCCAGCGCCGCAGGCATCCGCTCTTACCTCCGAAGGGTTCTGCCTGTGTGGTTTCCTGTTCCTCTGTCGGCGTGGACCCGCAGAGGTGTTCGGTTTGCAAATCCTGGGAGCCTCGCCCGTCCTCTCGGTTCCGACTCTAGCGTCGATGAGCGTCTGGGGGTCGTGAGGTGGCGCCGATATAGCGTTCGGTTAGCGTCGATTAGCGTCGGTTCAGCGTCGACTAGCGTCGATGTAGCGTCGACTGGCGTCGATTCGCAAGAGCCGACAAGATGGTATGGTAGTCAAGGGAGGAAAAGCCACCGGGACCCGACAAGTGGCGTTTACTAGACGGCCCTGGGCGTTCACTAAATAGCCCTGCCCTGTTTGACCCCTCCTTTGGGTGCGTCTGCTAAACGGCTTCGCGTGTGGGGGTGATTATTCTGCGGGTAGTCTTTCTGCCCTCTAGGTAGGCTCCCATGAGTTGCAACCGACGAGGTGGGTGGATAAGCAGATGAAGCCCGGATCCCGGCTGTTCGCGATCGGCGACTCCGTCATGATGCAGGCGCTGGCGCTCGGCAGGCCCGCGCTCGCCTGCACGCTGGCGCAGCCGTGCGAGGGCGCCCCGCCGTTCATTGTTGGCGGCGCTCCGGCCTGGCAGGACCGGGGCCCCAGGAACCGGGGTGCAGCGCGGGCTGGCGGGTGCAGCGGAGTGAGGCACCGCGCAGATCTGAGCGGGACCTCGCCGCCCCTTGGGGGCTGCGATCTGCGAAACTGTCGCCAATTCCGAGGGCTGTTTTTGGGGGGGGGGGGGGGGAACATAGCGATCTGCGGAGCTGTCACCACTTTCGAGGGCTGTTGATGGGTGCAGCGGGGTCAGGCACCGCGCAGATCTCAGCGGGACTTCGCCGTCCCTGGGGGCTGCGCTCTGCAAGTGTGTCGCCATTTTCGAGGGCTGCTGGTGGGTGCAGCGGAGTGAGGCACCGCGCAGATTTGAGCGGGACCTCGCCGTCCTTGAGGGGGGCTGCGATCTGCAAAATTGTCGCCAGTTTCGAGGGCTGCTGGCGGGTCCAGCGGGGTGAGGCACCGCGCAGATCTGAGCGGGACCTTTCCGCCCCTGGAGTGCTGCGATCTGTAAATGTGTTGCCATTTTCGAGGGCTGCTGGTGGCGGAGTGGGTCGCCGCGCGGACTTGAGCGGGACCTCCCCGTCCCTGGGGTGCTGCGATCTGCGAAGCTGTCGCCACTTTCGAGAGCTGCTGGTGGGTGCAGCGGAGTGAGGCACGGCGCGGACCTGATCGAGACCTCGCCGTCACTGGGGGGCTGCGATCTGCAAAACTGTTGCCATTTTCGAGTGCTGCTTGGGGGGCCAACATAGCGATCTGCGAAACTGTCGCCACTTTCGAGGGCTGCTGGTGGGTGCAGCGGAGTGGGGCACCGCGCAGATCTGAGCGGGACCTCCCCGTCCCTGGGGGGCTGCGCTCTGCAAGTGTGTCGCCATTTTCGAGGGCTGCTGGTGGGTGCAGCGGAGTGAGGCACCGCGCAGATCTGAGCGGGACCTCGCCGTCCTTGGGGGTGCTTCGATTTGCGAAATCCACGCCATTTTTGAGAGCTGCTTGGGGGGGCAGCGCAGCGATCTGCGAAACTGACACCACTTTCGAGGGCTGCTGGTGGGTGCAGCGGAGTGAGGCACCGCGCAGATCTGAGCGGGACCTCGCCGTCACTGGGGGGTGCTGCGATCTGCGAAACTGTCGCCACTTACGAGGGCTGCTGGTGGGTGCGGCGGAGAGTGAGGCACCGCGCAGATCCGAGCGGGACCTCGCCGTCCCTGGGGCGCTGCGATCTGCGAGACCGTTGCTAGTTTCGAAGGCTGGTGGCGGGTCCAGCGGAGTGTGGCACCACGCTGATCTGAGCGGGACCGTGCAATCCTTGGGGGGTTGCGAGCCTCACGAATGCCGCTCGCAGAAGTATATGCGCCCATGTCACGTCATCACCTCCGTATAACGTCTCCCAAGCTACTCTGCCCCGCATTGCGCAGGATTCGGGTACGTCGCCAGGGTAATGTTATTATTTGGTTTGCCGATCGGCGCGGGCCCCAACCCCCCCCTTCCTCCCCCCCCTGGAGTAGATCTTGCTTGTTTTTGCCGCCTGTTTCAAGCAGGTGGAGCCTCGCCTCATAGGACCCACTGCTGCAAACTGCCGCACTAAGCAGAGGTCCAGAGCCAGACCCCCCCCTTTCCGCCCAGTGTCGAAACGCCGAACAACAAAGCGCTCACAAGGCTCAGAAGTCCCCCCGCCTTCGGAAGTTTTCTAAGCCCTCCCAGGCGGAACGAACAACCTTTTGGAAGGCGCGAAGGATTCTGAGAAATCCGGCCGCCTTCTGAGAAGACCTTCTCATTCTCATTTCCCCTCCATCGCTCGCCGTCGGGCCTGGGTACAAGACCGAGGTCGGTTCGGGGAGGGTACCCTAGTGTTTTTTGTGCTTATTGGATGTCCTTGTGCGTCCTAGGGGAGGGTACCATGGGACGTTCTTTGTGTTTTGGCTGGCGGAGGGTCTCGTGCTCTTGAGGGGTGCTATTCTGGCCTAGGTCCGACTCTATCGAAGTCCCCGTTTCAGGGCCCTGACAGGACGACTTGGATCTAACAGACGAGCGGTACTCGGATGAGGAAAAGATGCCGATGCCGCTACCCTTCACCCATTTTCCTTTTTCGGCCTGCTGGGAGGCCCTCGTCGCTACCGCTGGATTCGCCTCGAAATCCTGGTCAGAACGCAACCCGGGCGAGGTTCAGCGAATAGCGGTATGGGTACCTTTTGGTTTCCCCAGGTGGACGCGCAAAGGCTGGCATCACCTGACTCACTACATGCTGCGATCCAGCGATGGAGGTCTCTCGGAGGTGGAGGGTTGGGTGGTGGCCCCCGCGGTCGGGAACAACGTCTCCGCGGTCGAAAGCGCGATAGCTTTGCTGCGGGGCTGGCTGGAACAGGACGCCGAGCCGACCAAAGACGACGTGATGCTGATCGGGCTGCTCGGGAATCACTTCGGCGGGGATGGCGGTGGTCTCACGGCTTGGGACAAGTATGCCGAGCTTCTCATGAAGGACGTTGTCACGCCGTTCGTGGGGCGCGTGGTAATGCTTGGTACTTCGCCACAGCACTTCAAAGTGGGCCATCGAGACTACGATGCTTCCCTAGAGCAGACCGACTGTGCGCCCAATCCACATCCAAGTGACGTGGATGGCACAAGTCAGGAGACGGCCATGCGAAGGAGCGACATCTGGGGTTACAACGTCTGGCATCATATGAAGAGCACGCGCGCACGATTCGTGGACACACAGGAGTTTTTGCGCCCACTGTGGCGGTGCCATCGCAATCCGAAGGACTGCACACACTGGCAGGACCCAGTAGTTTCAATTCAGGTCGGGATGTTTCTGGAGGCGCTTCAGAAGATTGCTTGAGTCTTCTGGGCAGTCTCCAGCTTCGACTCCTGCGGTCGTCTGGCGGGTGCCTCGTTGCGCTCTCGAACCGTTGTGACTGCAGAGAATGACAAATAGCCTGCACAGTGCGAGCTCGGCGCACATTCGATCGCTCTCTTCGTGCACCCCGCCTCCCCCAAGGGGGACGGACTCCTCTGGAACTGAAATCAGTGTCAAGGCTGCTGAAGTAATCGAGGCCCGGATTATATTCCAAGACTGAGAGACTTTGCCTCTTGTCGGGCTTATGTTCTAAGACAACTGTTGTTGTTCTTAGAACGTGGTTTTTGGGGTTCTAAGATCATGTGTCGTGGTAGGCCTACAGGAATGCCCGGACGGTCGGTCCCTACTCAAGTGAGAGGAGATATGGTGCCGTCCAGTTGGTTCGCGTCACAGTGTCTCTGTATTGGAGCGGCGGCCACGGCCAGCACGGGGTCACACACCGAATAAGACAAACTCCTTGATTGGCCAGGCGAAGGACCCAACCATACGCAGTTGTGAATACCGTCGTTGTCAGTATCGCCTTCGGTGGATCTCCTTATGGGGCCACGAAGCGAGTGAAGCGTGTGCCGAAATCGGGCAGGGCGGAGCTCCCTATGGGGCCACGAAGCGTGTGAGGGGTGTGCCAAAATGGGGCGGCGCCGCCATGCGGACTGCGCCACTGGGACCTTAGGTGGAGCTCCCTATGGGGCCACGAAGCGTGTGAGGGTTGCGCCAAAATGGGGCGGCGCCGCCATGCGGACTGCGCCACTGGGACCTTAGGTGGAGCTCCCTATGGGGCCACGAAGCGTGTGAGGGTTGCGCCAAAATGGGGCGGCGCCGCCATGCGGACTGCGCCACTGGGGCCTTAGGTGGAGCTCCCTATGGGGCCACGAAGCGTGTGAGGGTTGTGCCAAAATGGGGCGACGCCGCCATGCGGACTGCGCCACTGGGGCCTTAGGTGGAGCTCCCTACGGGGCCACGAAACGTGTGATGGGTGTGCCAGTGACGGGAGGAGGAGGAGGAGGAGGAGGAGGAGGAGGAGGAGGAGGAGGAGGGGGAGGAGGGGGAGGAGGAGGATGAGGAGGGAGGGGGAGGAGGAGGAGGAGGAGGAGGAGAGGAGGAGGGGGAGGAGAGAAGGGAGAGGAGAGAGAGGGTAGGGAGAGAGGAAGAGGAGGAGAGGAGAGAGAGGAGAGGAACGCGGGGACCGTCTCTTCAAAACGAGGACCCAACACCACACGATTGCTGGGAAATACAAACTTTTGGCGCTCCGCGCGGATTCCTTGGTTCCGCGCTGGGCCCCCCCAGCGTCGCCTCTGGCGCCGCGCGCGCCAGGGAGGGGGGTCCGGCGCAGATCCAAGAAGTCCGCGCGGACCGTCAAACATGTATTTTTATTCCCCAATCAGAATTTGCCTCTGTAGGGGTCCTAGCGGATTCATATTGTTAGGTGAGGTTTGTCACTGATTTCCGCGGCCCGCCCTGGTGCCCGGGTGCCCCGGTGCCCAGGTGCCCGGGTGCCCGTGTGCCTGGGTACTTTAGCCCTATAGCCCTATAGCCCTATAGCCCTATAGCCCTATAGCCCAACACCCCCATAGCCCCGTAGCCCTAAAAAGACGTTGATTGGGACTTCTAGCCAATAGCCCCGTGGCCCCATAGCCCCGTAGCCCAAAGCCCCGTAGGCCAATAGCCCTGTAGCCCTACAGCCCTATAGCCCCGTAGCCCTAAAAAGACTTTGATTGGGACTTCTCTCCGGGATCATGCAGTTTGTTGTTCCTCTCGTCCAGTTGGTTCGCGTGACAGGGTCTCTGTACTGGAGCGGCGCCCACGGCCAACACGGGGTCACACAGCCTCGTTGGGTCACGTGGCCGCCACGGGGTCACAGCGGCCCCGTTTGGCTCCCGAGGGCTTCCGAGAGGGGTCGTGCAACATGCCCGCCAACACGGGTGGGTGATTGCCGCAAGTTGGCAACGCTACAACATGGACGCGGCCACATCATACAGTCAACATCCATCGTGAGGATGCGCTGCTTCATCAAGGCTACCCCTGCATCCCAGCTTCTTCGGCCCATCATGAGCCAATGTTGACGTCCAAGGGGATCTAATTGGTAAGTGGGACATCCAATGGTCTTGCATCCTGACCTTGCATCCTTACCAAGGGTGGCTGTGATGTCCTGACGCCCGCTGGGGTCCATATCGATTCTGGACCGACCCGATTCGGTAAACCGATGTCTCACGGCTCGATCCGATTCTATCTCGAGGTTTGGCCGATCCGATGCGGCTCAATGTCTTTGTGGCCCTGTTGTGCATCCTGGCATGGACGATCCGAATCGATTCCGACTATGTGCCGACACAGCCCGAGCTGATTTGGTTAGTAGAATCGGTGTCGGTCGCCCCTGGCCACGCGCACACTCGCGTACAACATTGCACAAACACGCGCGCCCGGCATGGACGTGAATCATGCGAAACACGATCTTTTTGTAGGGCTACGCAGATTCCTAGAGTATGTACGCCCCATCACCCAGTTTGCAAAAGCGTTTCTGCGATACGTTTTCGTGCCAACGAGCACGTGGCGAATACAATGACAACATACGATGGGCACGTGGGCACGCGTTGACGCAAGTGGCATGGAGACTTTTCGAGACATCCTCTGTTAAAGCAGATGCGACATCTGTGTGATGTAGGTGTGTGTGTGTGGATCTGAGCACAGCTTGGCGACAGCATGTCGAAACAGCACAGCCTGGCGACAGCATGAGTGCGCACCGCACGAGTGCTGCACAGCGTCGCCCGCCTGCGACGCACTGCGCGGCGTGACCTCGGAGCGGTCCCTGGGCGCCCTGCCGCACTCCCAGGCCAGGCGCAGCCCGCCCCTGGCCTGGCGTCGCGCCCAGGGGAAAGGCAGAAAGGGGCGGGCTTTCTCAGAAGGCGCAGAAGGCCTCAGGCCTTCCGAGAAGCTTCCCAGGGGAAAGGCCTGGCGTCGCGCCCAGGGGAAAGGCAGGAAAGGGGCGGGCTTCCTCAGAAGGCGCAGAAGGCCTCAGGCCTTCCGAGAAGCTTCCCAGGCCTTCCCCGGAGCCACGGAGGGCTTCTCGGACGTCCCGAGGGGCTTCTGCGAAGCCCTGCCGCCTTCCGAGAAGGTCTGCCCCATGTCGCTTACCCCGTCGGCGCCCTGCCGACTTCCGCATCGGGGGGGAGGGGGGGCGATACACCGTGCGGCATTCATGGGTCAGTGTCTCAGTGGATCCTTGACGCCAGAGCAATCCCTGAGCTCCTGGGCTGCCTTGATGCGTCCGCTTGGAAGCGCAACACGTACCCTGTCCACACCGTCCTTGTCAACACGCTGCGTGTGGGCTCTGCACCTGTTTGGCCACGTCTGGGCGAACGCGTCGCGCCAGACCAGTGTCTTCAGTCTACGTGTTGGGCTCCGTCTCCACGCGCCACGGGCTGCGTGCTGCATACCGTGGCAGGGAAGCGGAGCGCCCCGCAGCTGTCCCAGGCCAAATTCCGCCTGCACCCTGGCGCATCGCGGGGGGGCCGCCATGGTGTCCGACGGCGAGGCGCGCTGCCGCGACGAGGCCCCCACGGGCGACCGCGCGCCGAGGACGCCCCGGCGCCTGCTGCGCGCGACCCCGCGGGGGTGCGCGCGGCTCGGGAGGCCAACTTCAGCATCGGCGGTAGTGCCCAGATCTCTGATGACGTTTTTTGGTTTGTTTCCCCTCGGGGCGTTCTTCCTGCATTTCGGACACTGGGGACCGTTGTCAGGCCCGGGGGCCACCATTGGTGGTCCCCGGGCCAGGGCGGAACATTGCCACTGCCCGAGGGGAAGGGGTCGGGACACATGGAGAATGTGATGGGCGTGCTTTCCACCATCACCACCATAAGTTGGAGGGGGGAAGGAGGAGGAGGAGGAGGAGGAGGAGGAGGAGGAGGAGGAGGAGGAGGAGGAGGAGGAGGAGGAGGAGGAGGAGGCGCGAGGGAGATGTCAGAAGGGGGGAGGAGGAGGGGGAGGAGGAGGAGGAGGAGGAAAAGGGGGTGGGCGCTCCAGGAGAGGCTCCCTGGCCAGGCCTCGGGGGCGCACGCGCCGCTCCAGAGGCCCAGGAGGGGGCCTCTCCCAGGGGCGGCGGACCACGTGCGGGCCTCGTCGCCCCACAGAAACACCGAAAAGCCCACGCCTCCTCGGAAGAGCTCCCGGGAGAGGCTCCCGTGGGGGGTGCAGGCCTTCGGGCCCCAGCTCGAGCCTCCTGCGGCCGCTCGAGGCGACCCCCGGCGGTGCGCAGCTGCAGGACAGTTGGGCGTTGCGTAATAGGGGGGTCATAAATGGGGGGGTGGCGAGGGTGGTCCGAAAAGGTACCCAAACGGTACCCAAACGAGCCCCCTGGGGCCTCGGAGGGGCCCGAAAGGGGCACGAAAGGGGACCGTTTCTGACCCCCCCATTTGTGACCCTCCCATTAAGCAACGCCCAAGACAGCAACCCGAGGCTGGACAGCTGTTCTGGGAGCAGGCGAAGACATCTGCGAACGG